AAATAAAAATAAAAATAAAAAGTGGGGTTTGTTTTTTTGCCTTGACATCACTTTCAAAACTCATGTTACTTTCCAACACAGGTTTGTGGTTATAAAGCATAGCGTAAACAGATTAAAGTAAAACACGTTTGTGAAAACAATATTTGTTCACTCAACTGCACCTTGCCCTGGGATGGAGCACAGAAGGAAAATGGTTATCTGAGGTGAGACTAGATATGCAGCCATCAGAAGCTTCCTTCCCCGTTCTTGGGGAATACCATCAAAGCAAGGGGAAACCATTCAAGAGCCACTGAGGGAAGCATCCTCTAGGACTGCAAGAATAAAAGGTCAAAAGAAAAAGAGGAGTCTTGCTCACCAGTGTGGGAAGTCCCCCGAAGAATTAAATATTTTGAGGAATATTAAAAAGGCAGAATATGGAGAAACATGTTTTTAGAGGCAGAAAGCAGCCCCCACCTTTTCTTAATGCCCCACAGGAGATGCCAGCACTTAAGAGATAAAAGGGCTTATTGAAAGAAGAAGCCAACTATCTAGATGGCTCTAAGCAAATACTGGATGTTGTTAATACCAAGATTAATACTAGACCAATAATCAAGCAGTAAACAATGCACTAATCGAAGAACTATCAACTCAGACAAACAATCAAACAGTAAACAAACAACTGTACATACACTAAATACCTACTGGGGAAAAGTACAGATTCCCCTCTCCCAAAAGTAATTTTTTATCTTCATCGCAATCATTGTAGATAAGCTAGTGAAATTTAGAGTAGTGTAAGAATTTGAACCTGGTCTCTTCTAACCATTACCCATTAACTCCTTCTTCAAGGCTTCCAGGTACATTTTCAGCCACCCATGATGAAAATAGTTGGCATGATCTTTTCCCCATTTTGATTCAGGAAAATCTCCTCCCAAAAGACTTAATCTACATTTAAACAAGCAGAAAACCTCAAATTCTCCTTAACATATGACACTAAGAAAGCCTGCCCACCTACCTTTTGTTTGGTGTCTTAAAGCGAATGCTGCAGATGTTAAGTGGATGCTGCAGTCGTTAAGTGAACACTGAAGTTGTCAAGTGACCCAATGGTTCACTGTGGGTGCAGCTTTGTCAAAAACTGGAAATAAGTAGCAGTTTGGGGCAAAACTGTCATAAACCACAGGATGCTGCAAATGGCCGCAAATGTGGCCATGATACTGAATGTTCAATCATTTGATCATGGAGAGGGTCTGACATCGGAACTTCAAATCCAGGTTGCAAGTCCCCTTTCTTGAGTCAGTCTGAACTTCAAATAATCACTTAACAACTGGTTATTAAGCATAATGCATACCCGCTGACCACAGCCCTCATCCTTCCTCAAAATGTTAAAAAGGGCCTCTAGTTCTTCAAATTGTCATCTTCTGATCCAGCCATTGCATCTCTGGACTTGGATGGTTCAATAGGCCAAGTACTTAGATCAATTCACGTGTCGCTCTGTGGCTTCTTCCAAAGTGCCTTCCACAAAGGTCTATTGCTGTGGCCTGCCAGCAGCCAATGGATTTGGCAGCAGATTCGGACAGTGAGGAGGTTGGGGAGGAACATGGGCCAATCCTGGAGTCTGGGGAAGGCTCTGATGAGGGCTCTGTGTCGGAGGCAGAGAGGGGGCCAGAGCCGTATACCAGAGCTGCATTCAGAGTCAGACATCAGTGAGGCAGACGAACAGCTGGAGCCTTTTCCCAGTGTACGCATGCACAGAGTTGCCAGGCAAAGGGAACAGCTAAAGAACAGGGGTTGACTTGGGAGTAAGGCCATAGGTGGATGATGAATGGCCCTTCCCAGAGGAAATAAAAGAGGAGCAAAAGGGGAAGGGAGTTTGCTGGAGATAATTAGTTCACTTAATTGATTTATGACTCTCCGAGACTCCTTGCCAAGTTTTGCAGATATCAACCTGGCAGCTCTCCAAGCCAGATAAGGTCTGTGACTGTAAATCCTCCCTTGAAAGACTGGAGGCTGGATGCAAATGAGCAGAATTCATAGTAAATTAATAAAAGGGTTTTTTGTCAGGACAAGGAGTTGCTTGGGAAGCCAAGGTCAGAACATCTATGACAATTTGTTGCGGTCAACTCACCATGGCCAACTCACCATGGCCAACTTGCCACAGCTAACTGACTGTGGCCAACTTGCTATGGGACAACTTGCCATGGCCAACTCGGCGCGAGACAACTCACTGCAGGGCAAGAGTTACACTAATATCAAAGAAATGGTGGAATAGAATCGTTAAAGAAAGAGTGCAAAAGGAGGGGCAAAATGAAATCTGAATGACAAAAATGAAAACAAGTTTTTATTTATTTTAAATTAATTAATTAAATTGATCAATTGTCCTGCGGCGAGTTGTCCCACAGCGAGTTGGCCGTGGAGAGTTGTCCCACAGCGAATCGGCTGTGGTGAGTTGGCCATGGAGAGTTGGCTGTGGTGAGGGGGCAACAGCAAGTTGGCTGCGGCAATTTGTCCCTGTTGTCGCCTGTCGGCCACCAGCCCCTCCAGCAACCATATCAGAGGAGGAGGATGTGTTGGAGTCAGGGTTAACCTGAGAGCTCCGAGAGAGAAGAGGGAATGGAGTTGGCAGACAGAGAGCAACAGAGGCAGAGCCTGGGCCATTTGTACAAACTGCAATTTGCATCATGCAATCATCCATTCTCTCTTCCCTATAATTTTACCAACTACATTGTCGACAATAAAAGTCTTCACTGAAGACCTCTTGAACTAATACCCAGCAGATCAGTTTCTAAACCGCTGGGTTTGCTCACCAGATATTCCATCTTTTTTTTCTTTTTAGTAGAGAAAAACTGAGAAAGAGGGAAAGGCAAAATAAATGCATGATGATTTTTGATTACTAGTGCCTTTAGGGAGCATGTTCAATCTGAATCTAATCCAACATATTTCACTGGTAACACAAGGATAAACAAAGGAATTGGTATATCAGCATAATCATTATTCTTCCTGCCTAATTTATCTCTGTTTGCTCTCCGGTTTGACAATCCCCCCTCCTCAGTTGTCCCCCCACCTCATAACTTAGGGACTTTCAATTTTTCTCCTTTGGAAAAAAAAACTAGGTTTCTTGGAACAAATGCATCAACCTCCCACACCCCCTCCCCACACCCCCAGAAGAGGCTGCAAATCTCAAACAACCTGGCAACCCTTTCTCCCACAGGCTATTCTCTGGAGAAATTAAGAGAGAACCTACAGTAGTCAAAATAAACACTCCAGCTCTATTTCTGTCCTTGCCACTCTAGCAGCTTTGCCGCTCTAAATGTACAGCAATTAGTGCATTTCCCAAAGTTACTTGCTTGGAGAAAGAGATCCGTGCTTTTGGTGAGTTAGCTAGATGTCTTGGCAACCCAAACCTCTGTAGTTCCAGAGGATGGGCATTTCCAACCAGCTTGCCTTCCCCTTGATAATCAAGTGCTCCTACTGAAATAGTTGAAATAGTCCCTTGTCCCGAGAAGAGATTCAGGCTACTAAAACGACATATCAAACAGCTTGCACTGCAGATGTTTGGGGAAAGGTTATGTTAAATCTCCACTCAATATGGTAATGTTAGAGAAGCCATCTTAATTCCCTAGCCAGAATGAAAAGTGATCTTAATCAAAGGACAGTTTGGCTAAGTGGTTAAGTAAGTAGGCTAAAAAACAGGAAATGGTGAGTTCTTATCCCATCCTTAGGCATGAAAGCCAGCTAAGTAACTTTGGGTCAATCACAAGGAGAATGTGAGTTCTAGTTCCACCCTTATACATGAATGCCAGCTAAATAACTATGGACCAATCACTAGGAGTGTGAGTTCTAGTCCCATCCTTAGGCATGAAAACCAGCGGGCTACCTTTGGGCCAATCACCAGGAGACTGTGAGTTCTAGTCCCATCTTAGACATAAAAGGCAGCCAGGTGACTTTGGCCTAGCCCCTCTCTCTCAGCTGAACTTACCTCATAGAGTTGTTGTTGTGAGGAAAATAGGAAAGGAAACAAATATTAGGTCTGTTTTCCACCTTCAGTTTTTTTATAAATAGATCATGTACAGTGTAGCTGTCTTTGGAGCCCCCCACCCCAAGACTCATCCTGTGGGCATGCAGAGATGCCCTATACTCCCATCTAACCAAGATACAGCAGTTTAAATTAAAACGCCAATAAGCATAATGCATTTATGTTTCTAAACTACCTCTCCCATCCCAGAAACTTCAAGGCTGAAAATTCTGTGTTCTTTCGGATGAGGCCACTATGCCATGACCAACACTAGGTCTTTATATACCGAAAACAAGTATAGAAATTGCTCAAAGATATCCCCCCACCCCTGAGAACGACTATCCTGTCACAGATACAAAATTTAGGCAACAGGGAGATTGTGCAGAGAGTTCAAATCTCATGTTTCTCCTTGCTACCACCCACTCTTTGTCCAGATCAATTTTTATGAATAGCAGGATACAGAAGAAATTCCAATTTATCTATAGCATATAAATAATAGTTTCCTTTTATCAATCCATTTCTGTAGGCAAATTTCCTCACCTTTCTTTAAAATACCATAGAAACTAAGAATCCATCATCACCTCCAGCCTTTGCAAACTAACAACTTTCCTATCCAACTATCATACCTGGCTAGTGGTGAGAAAAGCCAGAATTCATGGCTTACCTTCCCCAAAAGTCTCCTCTCCTGTTTTATATTAGTGCCCTCTTCTCTTCTCTCCCCTCCTTTCCCCTCCCCTCCCTTCCCCTCTCTACCCTTCCCTTCTCTCTCCCTCCACCCTTGTCTTGTTTTTATTCTGGATTTTTCCCACCTCCCTCTCCTCCATTTTTCATTGTTTTTTTTTCTTCCCTCTTTTCCTCTAGCCTCTCACTTCTTTTTATTCTTTGCTTCCATCTCCCCTTCCCTCTCAAAGAACATCTCCCTGTACCAACCTTCTAGAGACAAAGAAGACATTGTCTATTGTCCTTTCAGCAGTCATTCCAAGAGCATTGACACACACACACACACACCTACCTCTTGCACATAACTTTTGGATTTCACTTAGTCTTGGATGCTGCACACCCAGGTACAATCAACCCATCACAATCTTCACCTCATCCACAATGGAACCTGATCCAGCCTTCTGCTGCTTCCTACAGGTACTCACCCCTCTGAATCACAAACAGGTCTATCGAACTCAGGTGTTTTCTTTTTATACTCTTGCTTCAAGCTTTGATATGATTGCCTATCCCACCCACAGGCTCTCTTTCCTGCTTACCTGGATTGTGCACAACTGTTTGCCCAGTTGATACCTAGGAGATTTTATGGTTCGAGCATTTTCCCCAAGGTTAAACAGTTGATTGACTGTAGTGGTTTGCACCAAGAGACTAATGCAGTGCCAGGTGTGTTGACTTCTTGGAAATAAATTAGCTGGTTATCATCCCCATACCATAAAGGTAGGTGAGCAGTTAGATGAAAGGGTCACCGGCACTGTAGTTGCCAGATCCAATCATAAGAAAGGGAGATAGTATGTCTTAATGCACCGAAAAACACTCAATTAAGGGGGAGGGGGAAAACCTGTTGAAATTATTTGTGATATTGAAGAAGATTGAAGGGACAAAATCTATACAGGCTAGCCTTTGACCTGCAATCATAATTAAGCCTGAAATTTCTGTGGCTGAGCAAGACAAGTTGTTAAGTGAGCTTTGCCCCATTTTATAATCTTTCTTGCCGCAGTTGTTCAGTGAATTACTGCAGTTATTAAGTTAACAACATGGTTGTTAAGGGGATCTAGCTTTCCCATTGATTTTGCTTACGAAAGTCGCAGAAGGTGATTACATAACCCCCCAGGACAATGCAACAGTCATAAATACCTGCCAGTTGCCAAGCATCTGAATTTTGATCACATGACCACCAGGGGTGTTGCAATGGTCATAAGTCAACTTTTTTCAGTGACATTTTGTAACATCAAACAGCCAAAGAAGGAATGGTTGCAAGTTGAGGACTACCTGTAAAGTTTTTTATTACTCTGGGCCTGAGTTAAATTCCTCCTTTTTCTCTAACATATTGGTGGGAGGAACTTCAGGAGAGGGTCACATCTTAAGGGAAGTGTAACAGTGCCTAGTAGAAACCAGGACAAATACATAATATTATTTCCTTTTCTTTGAATTGTTATTAAAGTTGATTATAAGATAAATAAAAATACAAAGAAAAATTAAGAAAGTTAAAGAAGACAGAAGAAAAGTGCAGAAAGAAGTAAAACAGAAAGAAAGAAAAAAGTAGCAACTTTTGTAGAATGCAAAAAAGTTACAGCCTCAATATTTTGCTTTACATTTCTAAATGTTTCAAGCCATTTCTATAACAAAGCCATTCTAATCATCAAAGCCTAAAATTCGAATTTTATTTTATTTTCAGCTTTGAGTAAAAAAATCACCAAACGGAAACTGAACTAGATAAATTATTATCCTTAATAAAACGGTCAATTTTGCCATCTCTAGCAACTCTTTACCATCTGTTCTTCCATTGTAGGAATCAGTGGACCTTTCCATCTTTGGGAAAGTAAGATTCTTATTACTGTCAACATATAAAAGGAAAAGGTTCCCCTCGCACATATATGATAGTCGATCCCAACTTTAGGGGGCAGTGCTCATCTCCGTTTCAAAGCCAAAGAGCCAACACTTTCCAAAGACGTCTCCGTGGTCATGTGGCCGGCATGACTAAACGCCGAAGGGGCACGGAACACTGTTACCTTCCCACCAAAGGTGGTTCCTATTTTACTACTTGCATTTTACATGATTTCAAACTGCTAGGTTGGCAGAAGCTGGGACAAGTAACGGGAGCTCACTCCGTTACACGGCACTAGGGATTTGAACTGCCAAACTGCCAACCTTCTGAGTGACAAGCTAAGTGTATTAGCCACTGAGCCACCGCATCCCATATATCCCAACGTTAATTCCAAAGCTGTATCTGGTATGAATCTGATCATCTCTGATTCCTATCAGACCAGAATGATGTGTTTCTTTCTGAATATCAAATGGTTAAAAATAAGTTTCTGCCTCTCCTTTTCTCTCCATGACTTTCAAAGAAGTACGTAGAGGCAGCATAGATGGTTAAATTTAGATTTGCCATCAAGTTAAGTGAAATGTCTCACTTATACGGATACACCGCTAGTGATGTCGTACAATATCATGCCGACTTCCTTTTATCTTCTTACTTTCAAATCCATGATTGATTCAGACATGTATCCCAGATTCCAAGATTTAAAACTCTTACCCATGCTAGGAAAGATAGGCAATTGGCAAAGAAAATCACAAGGTCAGAATATAACTGCATGTGCACTTATAAGATGCCATAAAATTCCTAGTCCACTCAGAAATTAGATTTCTCACCCCACCTACCCTCTTTATTGCAGATCTCTATGCCGGAGAATAATGTACAGATACAAAACCAACATCATAAACAGCAACATTCAAGAACCAGTGCCAAAAGATTTCAGATATCTGCAGATGTCAAAGTAGCTCTTCTTCAACTATGGAACATCAAAGGGAGATGCTGGCCTGAAATTGCTGAACACATTGAAAGTCAGAAGGTTACAAAACTAGTTCAGTCCTGCAAAATACAGGCAATGCACAACTTACAAGCACAATTGAGCCCAAGATTTCCGTTGCTAAGCAAAACAGTTTATTACATGATTTTTGCCTCATTTTACGAACTTTCTTGTCACTGTTGGTAAGTGAATCACTGCAGGTGTTAAGTTAGTAACACGGTTATAAGTGCAACCATCATAAATGTGAGCCACTTGCCAAGCATCTGAATTTTGATGATGTGACCACAGGGATGCTGCAATGGTCATAAGTGTGAATGGCCATCAATCACTTTTTTTAGTCCTGTTGTAAGATGAGGAGTACCTGTAATTCTTTGGCTGAGATTCTCTTCTATAAACCTTTGGGGAATTGATGGGTAATAAATACTTTTGCCCCAAAATCGGGGGGAAGGGGGGAACAAGCATAGATAATCTGATCATCCCTCAGAGGTTTGGACTCAAATTCTCAAAAAGGGCCATGGTGACTTGGGAATTCTAGGAAATTAAATCCTCTCAGGGAAGGCTGGCATTAGCTACACCCCCAAACATACATACAGGTAGTCCTCCACTAACCCTCACAACTGTGATCAGAATTTCCATTGCTAAGCAAGTTGGTTGTTAAGTCAGTTTAGCCCAATTTTATGACCTTTTTCGCCACGTTAAGCACATCACGGCAGCTGTTAAGTGATCACTTGGCCAATAAAGGAATAAAAAGAATAGTCTGTTCTATTCTATTCTATTCTGTCCCTATCCCCATCCCTATTCCTATCCATTATCCATTATCCCATGCTATGCTAAGCTCTGCTATGCTACTCAATCCTGTCCTATCCCATCCCATCCTATCCCAATTCTGCAAATCCAGCCTCTCCTTTTGAGTTTGCTTGTCAGGCGTCAGCTTGGAAGATTACAAATGGCGATCACATGAATGTTGCAACCATTCATGCTGACTGCCAAGCAGTGAATTTTGATTATGTGACCATGGGAATGCTGCAATGGTCACAAATGAGAGGACCAGTTGTAAGTCACTTTTTTCAGTGCTGCTGTAACTTCGAATGGTCACTGAATGACCGGTTGGAAGTCAAGGATTACTCATCCATCCAGTTTCGTGTTTGAAACTACTCGTACAGGTCTTTAATTCCCATTCGGAGTAGATCAACTACGCGACCGAAATAAGTGCTGAGAATTATTTCAATGTATTTCCCAGCATTCCCATTGACTTCAGTGGAGCAGAAGAATCCTTTAGCAAAATTGCACAGAGAAGGGGAGAAGGGGCTCCAATGGACTGTCTCCCATCCACCTTCAATCCTCTTCCAGTCTCTCAAAGGCCTGAAAAGACATCCCTTTAAAAAAGGAAACTCAATTCTGTGAAGTCAGTACCTGTTCATCTAGGAAGAAAGATTTTCATTTAAAAACAAATGCAATGTACATGACTGTAAACATTGAATTCCCAAGTCTTCTCCACAGGGGCTGACTTTGAATGGACAAATTTGAAATGGTTTTCTTCTTATATTTTTTCTTTAAGCCAAGATTGACTTGCTGGACCCTACAGTTTTGTCTTTAGACAAAAATCCTCCACAAAACAGAAGAGAATAGTGGGGCAGGGACAGGAAAGCATTTAAAATGGGGCTCTGAATGCAGAAGTTTGTAAAAGTCTTAAGAATCAAATTAATTAATAAGAGCAAAGCAAAATTTAAGCTATACCAAAGCTACTGGAAGAGAGATGTTATTGTGGCTGCAATATCCCAAGATGCTGTCACTTTTTCTTTTACTGCTCTTTCTTTCACCAAGTGACAGATCTGAGTAAGGAGTTATTAAACACACACACACACACACACACACAGTGTGTGTGTGTTGCATTTGTGCTGATAAATAAATAAAGGGAGACTAGTATATATCTATTTCAAGCTATTTAGCTCTCATCAGCTAGCCATACTCTTACTGGGATTCGAATATTTATCAGCACAAATGCAACCCAAATGTAACAAGGCACATAAAAAATGGCATATATATATATATGTGTGTGTGTGTCTGTATGTATGTATGTGTGTGTGTGTGTATGTATGTGTGTGTGTGTTCTTCATATGTTTTAGCCTCTTCTCTGCAGTCTTTCTAGAGTCTCAACATATATATATGTATGTATGTATGTATGTATGTATGTATGTATGTATGTATGTAGTATTTGTGCTGATAAATAACTTTATATATATATATATATGTATGTATGTATGTATGTATGTATGTATGTATGTATGTTGTATTTGTGCTGATAAATAACTTTATATATATATATATATGTATGTATGTATGTATGTATGTATGTAT